ACATCCAGGGAATGTTGCTTCCCGTGTGTACACCTAACTCTTAGCACGGCCACTAAGGTTGGAGAGTGCAAAAGCAACACGAAGTTGCTCGGTCGAGATCAGAGCCGCGTCTATCGCGAGCTCTACGTCTCGGATCCAGAAGTGAAGGTTCTCGCCTTCCTTCCCTTCATACGGCTTAACCTTCAACCGTATTGGCTTCGGGTGAGGCGGATTTGCTTCCGCCGCCGGAGCCTGCAGGTTCTCCCGCACATGCGCGATGAGCCCCTGCTCGTAAGCGTCAAACGCATTGACGCGCTCGAGCTGCTCGGCCGGTGTTGACACCACCAGGCTCTGCAGGGCCTCCATTCCGAAGATGCCCGCCATCTTCCAAACCGACTCGAAGTGTGAGTCGTTCAGATGGGAGAAGTCGTTCCTAACCATGGCAACGAACTTCGGAGAGGTCCAGGTAGTTTACCCGCGTTGGCGTGGATTGACTACGAGTGCTACCAAGTGTGACGGGGTCACACAGCACCTTGCGCTAGAGGAAGTTGGCTTTCGAGAGTATACAAACTCTCAGTGAACGGTAGTTCACAGGTCCCATTTTACCGAAAGGGAGCGAAGTGACCAATTTAAGGTAGATTGTAAACTGAGTATATTTATAGGTAGGCTAAGCTCGAGTTAAATACAACATATAAGTCACCTATGGGGGCCTTCAGAAAATATAGCAGATCCCGAATGTCGCTCGCACAAATCCTGTAGCAATTATGGGGGTAGGTCGCACTAAATCGCTGGCATTTTGAAGAGACCGTTTTGAAGTCTCTGCAAATTGCGACATCACAAAATCAAATGACGACGTCAAACCAAATATAAATGGACATCAGAGCGCGCGCCGCGCCGACATAGTTGTAACCACACCACAACAACAAACATTGCAATGGTCCGATGAAGGGGGTGGACCACGCCTGAGACGCTGTACATGCTTAAGCTTGTAGAAAGCGTAGTTTAGGAGGGCGGCCGCGCTAAACGGGACGCCACTTAGCCGTGTAGTTCTTGGAAAAATCGGCTAGAAGAACCTCGAACGAAGCAGGTGTCAGCGACACCACCGTTACAAAGCTGCCACAAAGCTTTTCTTCGTAGATCTTCTGCTACACCGCTCCTTCAAGCTACTTCTAAGAAGGTGCAGCAACAAAACCTTCCTACAGTGGCGCTGGTGCGTAGCTGATTTTGTCGCAAACGCAGTATTTACTGCCATCGGCGAGGTTCGAGCTCCCGCACCCAGACAAACTGGTAGCAAATTTGTGTGATTTTCTTTTAGAGATTTGAATCGCGAAATTCGTCACAAATGCACTTGTTGGCTATCGCATTTCTGCACGCAAATGCCTATTGATGTGTGCTTTGCGTCATTTTTTGAAGGCCCCCTATAGAAAAGCAATGTCATTAGCCAATGGTTGGCCTTGGACGACCTTGGTACCTTGTACCAAATATCCCGACGTATGACGTGTCACACTTCTAAAGTGTGGCGTGTCACACTTCATGTAACTAGGGTACACTTAGGGCTACGTACTCCGTTACACGCAAGTTGATGAGTCTTTCTGCTAACGAAGCACCATCCATACCAAAATTTATCGGACTGGATGACCTTATCGGACCTATGTATTGTACACAATTCATCTCAGATAGGTACGAGATTTAGGAGAGGGCATGTCTGATGTGAAATGACGCAAAAGGCCAAAGAGTGGTCAAACAGACTGTTTTAAAGACGGCAGGAAATGGCCTGACGCCCTCTGGGCTGCAAAAATCACTATTTTGTTTTTCTATGCATTTTTGGCATGAGAGTCACGTGCGCATGAGCTAGCAAATTTAACAATGAGGCAGTAACGCTGAAGATTGACTCCTTGTCTGGCAGCGACTCTCCAGAATCGCCACGATCGTCCGGATAATTTTGCATCTGTCCGGTAAATTAAGATTGACGACAGCCAGTTATCAGAGCTACTAATCCTAATCGGTTAATTATCTGCCTGTAAAAACGTGCCACTTGTAATTGCGTTAGACTACACGTATCGAATGGTTTGCACCCTCTCACTTTCAGTCAATCCGTCGCCGACAGCTCACGTAAGCGGTCAGTCTTACTTTTTTCAACGCAACTACGCTGATCTCCCGTACGGGCTTCACGGCCTTCCAAACCCCCAGGTCGCCTCTGACCCCCCCTTCCAACGATGTAGCTCAACTGGGAGAGCGCAAGGTTTCGGCCTTGAGGATGCCTGTTCAAATCGGGCCATCGTTATTGCTTATGCTTGGGCTAGAGGCCTTGTAGCGAAGATCAAGTTTCGTGAACAGCTCAGATCAGCAAGAAAGGTGATTGCATACGTGTGTTGAGGTCGACATAGCTTAATCCTGTGAGGAAGGGTGAATGTATTCACATTTAAATGTTTGTTCTACTTACTAACCTCCTCAAGAACGTCCTGCGTGTAGCCAGCAGACGAGTCTTGGATTGGAGCTGTCTGGAGCAGTTGACGATGGCGCTGGATCTTGGCATTTAGCGCGCCGGCGCAGTGGACCCGCTGGAGGTGCTTGAGGACCGCGCTCGATCCGCGAGAGTTGATGCTGTGTTTGCCTTTCAAGTACGTGAGTACAGCATCCTAGGCGCGCTTCCCCAGCTCCAGAACTCGGTCGCGGTAGTTCGCTGAGGTTTGGCTGAGAACGAAGCCGTCGTCGAGGAACAGCTTCATGTACGCGACTAGCAGCTTGGCCTTCGAGTGCTGCTGCTTCGGTGCTTCGACGTACCAGCGTGGCTCTTGCGCGTACCAGGTAAACCAAGTCGCATGAAGGTAGGTTGCTGATCCTCTACGCTGTTTTTGCTTGGGTTTGCTCACATCTGTGGCATCTTCATCTTGAATGCTTCTTTTTCGCGTTTCAGCTACAGGATCACCGTTCAGCTTAGCCTCAAGCAGATCCATGCGGGCGTCTTAGCACTTGGAAATATTGATAAGGTGTTTAATGACAGAGACCTGGTGCTCGATGATCTTCTGTTTTTGGCTTGGTTCCATTGGCATGGATGGTGAGGTGGATGCTTCTATGTTGTCTTTACAGAAATGCTGCGCTCCTGCAAGATGCGTCGACCAGGCTAAGAGGTCCGGAAGCGTACGCCCAGCCTGCGTAACACAGGTTTCGAGTCGTTGCACCGCTAGACTGTTGGGATTCAAGCCCTTTACGACGGGATAGTGCCTAACGACGCAAGCGGTTAGGACATCCAGAACCTGCCGGTTGATGTTGAAGCTCTCCGTCTCCACTTGATAGCAAGCTGCGAACAAGACTCGTTGGAACTCGGCAATCGCGTCAAGCGTGTCTGCGTCAAATCTGGACAGGTCTTGGAGAGGGACAACGTCTTCTGGTTTGTATACACTCAATACCTTTGCAATCATGTGGTCTTCTCTACTTGTGTTGAAAATGTAGCTGAACCCTTTGTTTGGGGTGCTTAGGTTTCAAGATCCGCGATCAAAGATCCAGCGCGCGGTCATCTTCTCGCAGCCGCTGGCATGCTGGGCCCCACCACGACGGAAAGAGTGCGACGTGAGAGCAGCTGACACACCGCCGGCAGGGGCGACGCGATCAAGCACACGATTGACATGTGCGTAGATTGTCGGGGCCGCAGCAGTACGAGGAGGAGGAGGAGCAGGCGTAGCAAGACCAGAGGTCGCCGGTGGTGCGTTCAGGAGTTCCACGAGCGGCACGTCATGTGATAGTGGGGTCGGCGTTAGCTGCACTTGGTCGGGAAGGTTCCCGATGAGAGCTGGGCACGGTGCTGCTTGGACGGAGAGGGCGAGAGCAACAGTGAGCAAGGGGCACGTTGTGAAGTCGGCGTCGGGGAAGAGAGACAAACCTTGTTCTTTCGACGTCTTCACACGGACCAAGCGAAGGAAGAAGACACGGGCGGCATCTATAGAGATGTTCCGCTTCTTGATCATTGACAGGTCCGAAGCTCACCCGAACAGGTACCAGAGCAGACACAGAAGAGCAGCTTCTTGGTAGTCACTCTCAGAACATGCATTGACATACAAATACACAACCATTTTTTTCAAGTCAGCCTTTGTACATGGTGGAGTCTTTGCTACGAAACCACCGTTATCTCTTTTCAGACAAAAGTTATCTTGAGTTTTTCCCATTTTAAGCAGCCGCGATTCTAGCGAAGCTCGGTGCTGAGGAAATTGCTCTAGGAGCCAAATTTTGGCTTGGCGATAGTACTGCATTGCAGTGTTTCGTGCCAGCAATTTACACTTCTTTCCTTCACTAAACGCAAGATACATTCCAAACGTATCCATGACGCACACAAAGCTCTTGCCACTCTCATCCTCCTCAATACATTTCTTTACGTATTCCTCTTCAACATCCTCACCCTTTAAAAACTTGGAAAATGCTGCGACAGCAGTTGCCTTAGCCCGCAATGTGTTGCCAGGTTGCAATTCCTCCAAACCCATCGCGAAGGTCCGATAAAGAGGAATATGAAAGTGATACGTATACTCACTTGACAACTGAATGAATATACACATATTTTAGAGTTTTATCGGACTTGATACGTGGCTTGGATGACTCACCTAGACCTACTACATCCGATTGGTTTAAATCATGATTTAGATTAACTGTGATTGGCTGGTGATATTGCTGGCAGGTAATTGGCAGTATATACCATACAAAATTCATGTATGGTCTGACAAACTATCATTGCAAATCACATGCTACGGAGACGACGCACAGACATGAGACCGGACATTTGCACTACCGGTCGAGATGCTTGAAAAGCGCACTGGTGCAGCAAGACAACGAAAATGGCAGCCACAATACTTTCCTCCAAGGTGTGCTCTCCTAGAGAGCCATAAGACGTTGAAGTCCGCTTCTGTACTAATTTGACACTTACATTTCGACGCCATCGATAACTATCCCCACACAGATACCGTAGGCGCTCATGCAAATAAAACCATACTGTAGCGCAGCAAACTCGTCAGTGACGAGTCTTCAAGTGATTTTTACGGTGATGTCACTGTCTTCACAATTTCTGTCGTGGGCCGCACATACAAACTTCGGTGGCAGCCATATCGAACGTCCCAAATGGTGAAACCCACTGCAGCAGCAAGCACTGTGGCAACGGAGAAGAGCACGAGTGCTCCGAACTGTTTCGGGTCGTGGTACACGACGCCTATCACTTGAATGAGCATGTAAAATAAGTGGTACGTCGCCGTCTGCATGGCGTTGATAGCTCCGCGACGGCTTGGCTCGATCCATTCCTGCATGAGCTGTGTTTCTGCGAGATCAGCACTCCACAGCCACATGCGTGCGCCTACCATAAAGCACAGCATAACGTAGTCCGACACGCGCGACTCGCCAGTCAGCAGGAATGCCACCAGCACTGGTGCTAGGAACAGCCAAAACAGCCAGATACTCAAGACAGCAACACGCTCCAGTCGCGTAATGGTGCGTTGCAAGTACGGGAACAGCACAGTACCCAGAAGCCCGAACACGGCACCTGCACCACGACTGGAGCCCAGTAATGAATCGGGTACGCCTCGCCACTTGAGATAAGCGGTGTTCAACGAGCCATTATCCAGGACAGTCATAAACAGTGCGCAGTAGGAAAAACTCAGCAGAAACACCGGATGCCTCAGGTAGTTTCTCCACATTCCTACATAACGAGACAGCGTAGATTGACCGTCCACGAATGCTTGCCGATCTTCAGTACCGGAAGCGTCATTGGATGGCTCCGAGCTCTCCCCCTTAATTGCAAGCGCGGGGACAAGGTTGTAGATGTCTCGCGTCATGAAGTACTCAAGCGGGGTGGAAAGGCCATTCCAGATTGCCACTGTCGACGCGCCCATCATCGCGCGCGTGGTCGGATTGGGCCCAGCAAAATCCATGATAACTCCAAATGCAAGAGGGCCCAGCAATTTGCAGGCGAGATCAACACGCCGAAGGATAGTATTGAGGCTCATCAGTGCACTCGACCGCTCCGCTCCACTGCTTTGAGCGATTATCACGACCCAGTCGCGCTCGATCCCCAATGTCTGTGCTTCACTGAGTACCTGACCCACCCCACCACAGACCAGTGTGCTTATGAAGAGAAGCGTTAATGGCCAAGTCCAACCGGGTTTGTGGAGTCCATCGGCGTCTGTTAGCAGCAGCATTGCCCCCAGTAACACAGTGCTAGCGATAATGTTGACATTTTCCAGTAAGATAGCTAGTCGCATGGCCTTCCAACGGTTTGCAGCATCAAGTTGTCTCCCCACCGACGGAATCGCAATGAGGCACGAGGCATACATGACGAGCGAGAAGCACGCGCCAGGTAGCAATGTATCCACAAAGATCTCCATGAAGAGAATTGGCACAGCGAACTCCCACATGCGGTCACCCTGCACCAGAAAAAAACAATCAGTTCGACGCGGCAGCCTTGTTACCTCGCGGTCACAGTCAATAATTACCCAGGCCGAGAGTAAATGACCGGTATAAAGATACATTAACACTCGTCGCGGTAGCTTGCATGGCTGAGGTTTGTATTGCTCGCGCTCTTCCCTGCAAAGCCGAAATAATTAATTAAGGCAACGGTTAGACATTTCCCTGTATTTGAAGCGCAAGCTCGAGATGGAGAATACTTGCAGTAACCGGGTCCTCTCGTACTCTTGTGCCTCGTAACTGTCTAACCCAGCAGCATAGAGGCAGACAGTGATTGGCATTAGCAACGATGCGCCGATGATGAGCATCACGATGCTGCTAGATGGCGTCACAAGGCATGCGTTCTCCACGTTCAATAGGCAGGCTATGTATCACCAACAAAAGTGAGAGAGGGCAACGCCGCGCGGTTTACACGGGTCTCTGTCGTACCTGCACCATCTAGAGTTAGGAGTAGACTGGCGAAGCCTACAGCTATGCAGGCAGACACGGTCGGCTCCATGGCGGCACGGTACTTATTCTATAAATAAGTCCGATGGGTACTTTTGTTCATCATCTTATGGCTCTAATCCAAGCAACAAAAATCTCTTTAACCGGGATCGCGACCCGAAAATCGGCCTGTGATTGGCTAATCCATACCCACTAATTTCCGATTGTTTACCATTGCGATTCGAGGCGACCTCTCAGTAGGCACCAGCACACCACTTGCGAAGAGGTGCGTACAAAGAGGTGGTAGTAGGAATCTAGGGCGCATATACAATATCCTCCTCCTATTAGTTTATTTTTACGCCTGTAATCATGCACATACAGCACTCATAGTAAAAATTAGTATAAACCTTTTTTTAAAGTGTTGCGTCGTTCCTTTAGCGCTATGTGGGCAGATCGCGATTCGGTTAAGAACGACGGGATCGCAATTCCAGACATCACTCGCGATCCGAACCATTGACCTGTGATTAGTCAATCTTGCTTCATTTTTTTTTCCAATTTGTAACCTAGCGTACCCACGCGATCCGAGTCTCGGATCTCGACCTCAACGGGATCGCCGGATCGCACAGCTGTCTGTAAACGACGTCAGTGCACGATGCTCGTGGTAGGGCGCAAATGGAGGTGTACTAATGTATTTACATCCTTTATACAGTATTTAATGCATGTCAGTTTATTTTTTACGCTTGTAATGCTCTGCTAATGCATTTTAAAATTCTTTTACTGGGATGGTCTGGAAGGCTAGCCAGCTCAAATCGGATTAATTCGTCGCGGTAACTGAAGCCGGTAACTGTCCGGTTTACCGGGTAACTGTTCGATTTGAGCGAGAACAAGGAACGGACTAGACCAGGTGCAGCACAGCTTGAGCGATGGACGGCGCTGCCGGACATGGTCACTGCAGCGTCGTTTTGTGGCTTCACGATAATCGCTCCGAGGGGTGCACAAGGCAGGCGTTCTTCCTCGCTGCGATCAGAGGTCATCTGGAACTAGCTACTTGGCTGTTCTTGAATCGAAGTGAAGGTTTTCCGCCAAATACGTTTGACCATGTTTGCGCAAATGGGCACCTTTTAACTGCGCAATGGCTGCATGCAAATCACATTGGGGGTGGGAGTTTGAATGCGATGGACTGGGCTGCTGCTCAGAATCACCTTGAGGTCATTCAATGGCTTCATCGAGAGCGGACTGAAGGATGCTCTGTGTCAGCAATGGACTCGGCTGCATGCCATGGTCACTTTGAAGTTGTTCGTTGGCTTTCCCATAATCGTGCAGAAGGATGTACCACTGATGCTATTGATCATGCAGCGGGAAACGGGTTTTTCGATGTCATCCGATGGTTTATTGAGAACCAAGATGCTGGATTTACGTCCGCTGCAATGGACAATGCAGCAGGGAGCGGTCATCTTGCTCTTCTTCGATGGCTAGGTGGGAGACCTGAATCACCGGGATGCTCAACAGACGCTATGGATAATGCTGCTAGTCGCGGGAGAATGGACGTTGTTAAATGGCTTCGCCACGCTCGACGCGAGGGGGGTACTTTTCGCGGTTTAGACGCTGCTGCCACACAGGGCAATCTTGGTTTGCTGGAATTTTTTTACGAAAGCAGGCCGGAGCGTGTTTCAGACGCGGCTTTTCGTATATGTGTAACAAGAGGAGATCTGTACACTGCTAAATGGATTGCCGTCCACTATCCAGAGTTCGCAGATTTACAAGTGGTGCTTCAACACGCAACGCGTAACAGATGGTCCAGTGCAATTCTTCTTGCTGAATTTCAGCTAAGCGCCTGCTTACATCCTCTCGATAACGACTAACTACAACGACTATGCTTGCATGTAATTCGAAATTCAATGCTAGTTTCGGTTTTGTAGTTACATGACAAAAAAAACTAAGCGGTTAACAATGGCCAAACCTCTCGAAGCTAGTTAAAGTAGATTTTTCCCTTTCAGTAACTTGCCGGTGGTAAAGTTACTGAAACTATGTAGTCTACTTGAACCCATCAATCGGTAATCGTCTACACTCAGTCGAATCGTTTCTCTTCTTTCATTCAAAGCACCTCTCCACTTTTTTTCTGGCATATTTTGTCCATCCGCACAATTTGCTCGCCTGCTCCTGTTGTCATTCGACAATTTTCGCTTGTCTGCACAGCTATGGTGACTCCTCGTCCATGTGATCGAGAAACTCTCCAGACCAAGCTGCCTACAGCAGTCCGTGATCCAGCTATGGTGACTCCTCCAAGTAAGACTTCTCGTGCCGTGGTTAGTGAAGTCGCAGTGGGAACGGCAGAAGTGAAAACGGCAGTTGGTCTACCCCTTTGTGATCGGAAAACTCTTAAGACCAAGCTTGCAGTAGGAACGGCTCGTGATCCAGGCCTCGCGGTGATCTCTACCACAGCTTCGAAACCAAATTCCGGACTCGGGACAGCTTCGCAAGTGACGGAGAATAACCAAAAGATGTCGCCCACTGTCAAGGGCTCTTGCCCTCAAATAATTGTGGACGCGCGACTGGAAGTCTGCTCGGTATCCGAATAAGATGGTGCCGTTTGTGATTTTGCCGATAATACCCCCCAAACTTCAGTCAGCAGCGCGCAGACTGGTGTTAAATCTGCGCGCATTTATCCTCTTCAGGACTTAAAGCCCAGCACACCTTCTCCGTGGGCGTTTATCGCGCGTGTGATAGCAAGAAATCCCGTGCGTGAATGGAAAACCTGGCAAAATAATGGTACATTGCTTGAAGTTTTCGTTGCCGACTCACCCAAGATCGTTTACCGGGTTACCCTGTTCAACGAGGCAATTACAAGTTATGGTGACGTCATTGTTCCTGGAAACAGTTGCTTCTTCTCCGGCGGCCGGATAATACCTGCGTTTTCGGCGAAGAATTGCGTTGAGATATCCTTCGGATCCAATGCGGATATTCACCTGGCCCAAACTCCTTTGTTGGATGCCCCGCAAATACCTACCGCTACAATTGCCAACCTTGCGGCAGCTGAGGACGGGTCTGTAGCAACAACTATTGCTATTGTGCATCGGTTGGGCTCGGTGAAGCGTATTGTAACGCGGAAGGGGAAGACGACTGATAAGCGAGAGCTACTCCTTGTTGATGATTCCGGGTACCAAATAGTTTGTACGACGTGGGGTCACCTCGCCAATGGAGACATTTTACAAGGCAGCGTCGTCGTTGTGAGAAATGCTACGCTTTCTACGTACAACAAACTCCGGTATGTTTCAGTTGGTTCTGCATCGGAGATTCTACACGAACCTGCGATCGATCGCGCCGACCTACTCCGTAATTGGTACGGTGGTTTGGCACCATCCCATACGTTCTCACCTCTTTCCGGGCTTTAAACTTAGCGTTTCGTACACGACAATTTTGCATTTTTTTTAAAAAAAAGTAAGAAAACAATACATTTTCGTTTTTTTAACCTTCGCTTCGCCTTAGTTATTTTACTTTATGGTAAGCTTAAGTCTAATGTTCGGTCGCACTCTATGGACTAGCCGCGAGCCAGTTAAGAACGACTGGATCGCGAGCCCGTTAAGAATGACCCTTAGGGGCTGGTGTCTTCGAGTGGCTCGTGAGGCTCTTTGGACTGTGTAATGCAGCCCCGGCCTTCGAACGACTAATGGAGACTGTACTTGTCGACCTCAAGTGGACGACTTGTCCAGAGTACCTCGACGACTGCGTGGTTTTCAGCGAAGCCTTTCCTACTCACCTGGTACGACTAAATCAAGTCTTGAAACAATTCTGATAAGCTGGCTTCAAGCTCAAGATGAAGAAGTGTAAGTGAGCTCGTGACCAGGTAGCGTTCTTGGGACACATCGTCACTTCTTCTGGCATCTTGCCCAACCCCAAGAAAGTCAAGTCGGCGATGAACGTGCCAATACTGCACGACTTGCACACGGTGAGAGCGTTCCTGGGTTTGACTGGCTACTTAAGAAGGTACATCCCGGGGTACGCGGCCATATCGGCCCCGATCGAACGACTCTAGATGAAAGAAGCCCGGTTCTACTGGGGCGACGACTGCGAAGCTGCTTTCCTGCAGCTCAAGCGTAATCTGGTGGAACCTCCTATCCTTGTGTATCCTGACTTTTCAAAGCGTTTCCGTCTGTACGTGAACTCATCCAAACTCGCCGTGGGAGCGTGCTTGATGAAAACCGTGGGCGGGCGCAAGAGCGTCGCTGCCTATGCGAGCAAACTGCTTGTTGGTTCTAAGAATAACTGGGTCCACAAGGAGGACAATACTTCGGAAGTCGAGTGTTGGGGCATTGTATGGGCCACGCGGAAGTTTCGCTGCTACTTGGATCTCTGCGAGTTCGACCTGTACACGGATCACAAAGCCTTGACGTGGGTCTTCAACGAAACTAACCGCACGAGTAGCGCTAAGCTGGCTAGGTGGGCCATGGAACTATCTCAACTGCGCTTCAAGGTGTTCCACAAGCCCGGCACTTCTATGAGTCATGTGGATGGTCTATTTAGGCTTCACACCCACACCATCAACGCAATCTCAATGGCGGAGCTACTCAATGATGCTGACGAGTCCTTCCCTAGTACTGTCGAAGTCAGGGAGACTGCGCCTCTCGACTGGACTCTACTCCCCTTCGGGATCTGTGTTAGATAACGCTGACGACTCTAGTTCGGTGGTATCGCCCGACGAGGAAGAAACTACCGATCAGCTCTTGGTGTCCCCGGTTGATGTGCTCGGACTCCAACAAACTCGCTTCATGGAAGAACAAAAGAAGACTCCTTGGATCCAGGCTATGATAGCGTTCCTCAGCGACGGAACACTAGCTCTAGACCCTCAAATGAGCAAGAAGGACTTACTAATGGCCCCTAACTA